ACAAATTGACGTCAGTTTTTTATGCGTCTGTCCTCTTACTGATGATAAATTGTGTCATAACATTGTCCAAGATTACTGCGTAACCGCTCGCCTGCCACAGCCACTTTGACAATGTTATGACACAATTTATCATCAATAGGAGGACAGACGCATAAAAAACTGACGTCAATTTGTTAATTAGATGATCAAACGGCGCGAAGACGTCAAGCTGCGATATTGTAATACACAATACTTTATTTTAAGCTCCCTCTTGCTTCTATTGCCATTCTTCTGCCGCGTAAATCATACTCTAATGGTCCTGGATAAACTTGGGGCTTTTGTATACAATAGCAGAGAACAGTTTACATGAGAAATCTTAGGTGATCCTAAGTAGAGAACAACTTGCTTTAAAGGCAGAGAGCTTGTACACTCCACGTCTACCAGAGATAAATTGAAACATACAGAGCATGAGCAAACTAGAAATCTAAAGGGACCTGCTTTTTTTACATAAATGGTAAAGAATAGGAGGGAGGGGTAACCCTCCTAAGGAGGAACTATATCCTGACTACTTGCTACTGACTACTGACTACTCACTGATCATTTACTACTACTTTCGTTTCTCATTAACCAGTCTTGTCACGCAGTTACTTCTTCTCTGTCACGCAGTTACTTCTTACGATTAAATCGTCCCTTTAACCCAAACTGTATCTGTAATAAGGGAACAGCTGGGCGCCATCTTAAATTTCAACGCCAGACACTGGGTAAACCGCTGGTACAAAGCAGACCTGCAAAAGTAGAAGCATAAATAATCACTATCTCTGAAACAGATATGTTCGCTAAATAAAATGATTTCCTCGTTCATACAAAACAGGTGAAAGGTATTCNACAATTTATCATCAATAGGAGGACAGACGCATAAAAAACTGACGTCAATTTGTTAATTAGATAATCAAACGGCGCGAAGACGTCAAGCTGCGATAATTGTAATACACAATACTTTATTTTAAGCTCCCTCTTGCTTCTATTGCCATTCTTCTGCCGCGTAAATCATACTCTAATGGTCCTGGATAAACTTGGGGCTTTTGTATACAAAAAACAATTCTGGTAGGGGAGGTTTCTTAATAGCAGAGAACAGTCTACATGAAAAATCTTAGGTGATCCTAAGTAGAGAACAACTTGCTTTAAAGGCTGAGAGCTTGTACACACCACGTCTACCAGAGATAAGTTGAAACATACACAGCATGAGCAAACTCGAAATCTAAAGGGACCTGAAGGGGCATAACCGGTACAGGATAGGAAGGAGGGGTAGCCCTCCTAACAAGGAACTATATCCTGAGTACTTGCTTCTGACTACTTATTATTCACTGATCATTTACTACTACTTTCGTTTCTCATTAACCAGTCTTGTCACGCAGTTACTTCTTAAAACGATTAAATCGTCCCTTTAACCCAAACTGTATCTGTAATAAGGGAACAGCTGGGCGCCGTCTTAAATTTCAACGCCAGACACTGGGTGAACCGCTGGTACAAAGCAGACCTGCAAAAGTAGAAGCATAAATAATCACTATCTCTGAAACAGATATGTTCGCTAAATAAAATGATTTCCTCGTTCATACAAAACAGGTGAAAGGTATTCTCAATATAACCAAACTATGATCTTTCCGTTGGTTGCGCGAAGTTTATTTTCAAGCAAGATTAAAGTTAATACTTTGTAACAGCCCGTTTAATAAAATCTCTTTTTTTTTCCAAGAAATCAGATTCTTCCTTCAACCGACAGGAC